AAGAGAAGTATGAAGCCTACAATAACTGAATCATTAAATTCTTTTATTTTATCAGTAAATGTAAGTAAATCACTATAAAAAGTATCAATAAATATAATTTTTTATAATCCTTTACATTTTATATAAAACAATTGTATATGGAAATATAATTGCTGAAGTAATGTTTATTTCTTCTTATTTCAGAGTCTTGCTGATCTTGAACATAACATTGAACGTCAGAGAAATAGAGTAATTGCATTTAATTTAACTTTACAACTATTTCTTATTTTCGTAGGACGTGATGCTAGCTCGATCGACGCATACTACGTTTGTGTCGACAATACTTTGTACAAAATCGAAAGTGCTCTCAAAGCTATCGACGTATGTTACAAGTGTTTTTTTGTACTGCATGCCTGTTATCCTAAAGAATGCCAACAAATATGGCTTCTTATACAAAAATATTTGTATAAAATGTCAACTGAGAATGATGTGATTAATAACAAAGTTATATCCATCGAGATAGCATTAAATAAAATGTAAAAGTACAAATATGGTTATGTTAACAAAAATATTTTATATGTATTTTATACTTCACATTATTTTTAAAATAATTTTTTTTATATTTGTTTATTAAACAAACATATATTTTTATGTTTAATATACTACTATACTTTATATATTTGTCAAGTGTGCAAAATAAATTTAAATTCTATAAAAAACTAATGAATCATTTAAAATTATAAAATAGTATTTTGTTTTTAATAAATATATTTGAAATCAATCGCTATGTGTTCGTGAATTTAAATCTGCACGTCGTTTTAAAAAACATTTATTACATGATTATCCTTTTGATACATACAACGACGAAGAAAAAAATATACATACTTTTTCAAATGCAATACAATTGCGATCAGTTCATTTGCTAAATATTATTTTGGAAAATGAAAATAATAGCGTCAGTGCAAATAAAAATTTACCAAGTTACTTTGATTCTCGTAAGTTTTAATTTAAAGAAATACAAGAAGTTGCTACTTCTTTATTATTTTTTTACGCGCGCACGTTTTATAAATAACTTTATGTATAATATCATTATACATATATAAAAACTTTATATATAACTATGTATGTATATTATAAAAGTGATTTGATGAAAATATATAATTTTTCTAAGTATTATGTTGAATAAGAGTTGTTGTATGAACTAGTCTCTCTTATATAATTATTTAGTAACACTAACTAAATTAAATATTTATTTTTAAAAAGTTTGGTTAGTATAATACCATTTTCTGTATTACTCATCAAAAATATTTTCTACCATAATACATTATTTTGTTAAATTTACTAAAAGAAAACTTA